TACCATTGACTAGCTCTTACACTTAACTCAGCCCATTTCTGTTAAGTTGTATGTTGCCATGTGTTCCGTGGCTTTACCTGTTGCCTTTACATGTTGCTCCCTGGAAGGCAGGCTGGTGTCTCTCTCAGCTTCCACCTCCCAGCCTCTCTTCTCTGTTTGTCTCTCCTATCCTATACTTCCTGCCTGGCTACTGGTCAATCAGTGTTTTATTTATCAATCAATCATAGCAACATAGATTCACAACATATAGGACATCCCACAGCATCCAGGACTCCATACATAGCAAGTCTTTGTTCTAAAGAAAGACAACAGAAAATACCAGAGAGAGAGAGAGAGAGAGAGAGAGAGAGAGAGAGAGAGAGAGAGAGACAGAGACAGAGACAGACAGACAGACAGACAAAAAGAGAGATCCAAATTCCTTGTCTTCTCAAAAACCCACTCCTGTGATGACTAACCACTCCTGTGATAACTAGCCCACTCCTGTGATGACTAACCACTCCTGTGATAACTAGCTCACCCCTGTGATGACTAACCACTCCTGTGATAACTAGCCCACTCCAGTGATAAATAACCCATTCCTGTGATAACTAGCCCACTCCAGTGATAACTAATGACTCCTATGATAACTAACCCACTCCTGTGATAACTAGACCACTCCAGTGGTAACTAACCCATTCTTGTGGTAACTAGACCACTCCTGTGATACCTAACCCACTACAGTGATACCTAACCCACTCCAATGATAACCAACCCACTCCTGTGATAACTAGCCCAATCCAGTGATACCTAACCCACCCCTGTGATAACTAACCCACTCCTGTGATAACTAGCCAAGTCCAGTGATACCTAACCCATCTCTGTGATAACTAACCCACTCCTGTGATAACTAACCCACTCCAGTGATAACCAACCCATTCCTGTTTTAACTAACCCACTCCTGTAATACCAACCCACTCCTGTGGTAACTAATCCACTCCTGTGATAACTAACCCACTCCTGAGATAGCACCATTAGTCTGTTCTAAGAACAGAGCATTCATAAGTGAAATAACTCTTGAAAGTTCCAATTCTTCATACTGTTATATACTGAGAATTTAGTTTCCAACACATGAAGTTTGGCAGACTCATTCAAACGGTAGCAGTAAGTTTTTATATCTCAGGGATGGAAAGCTAGAGGATCCTGTCAAGTTAACTTTAAAGTATAGAGGAGATAAATGTTGACATAACACAGGGGATGACAGGTTTGGAATGATGACTAGAACTGCAAACCACAACCCAAAGGAAAGTGTTTTGTGTTATACCCAAATTAAGCTTCCCAGTGTACTAACTCCTTGTCTCAGGCTGCAACAAAATACTCGATGAAAGCAGCTGTGCTAGGTTTTGCCAGCTTGACACAAACACAGACATCTGGGAAGAAGAAATCTCAACTGAAAACTTTCCTCCCTCAAATTGGCCTTTAGCTATATCTTTAGGACATTTTCTTTATTAATGATTAATGTCAGAGGGCCCAGACCATGGTGGGCAGTCACAACATCCATTCACTGCAGACACTCCTAGGTTGCAAAGAGCACTAAGCAAGACATGAGGAATAAGCCAGTAAGGAGCACTCCACTATAGCCTCTGTTTCAGTTCCTACATTCAGGATCCTGCCTAGAGTTCCTGCTCTGACGTTCTTCAGGGTGGACTGTGATTGGGATATGTAATTCAAATAGACTGGTTGCTTTTGGTCATGGTGTTTGATTACAGCAATAGAAAACAAGTGAGAAAACCAGCTCAAGTAAAGAAGAGCTAACAGTTCAAGGGTGTGTTCATCACAGCCTTGGGGTCACGGTGGCGGGAGTGGGAGGTAGCTCACACTGCATAGTCAGGAAGCAGAGGGGGAAAATGCTGGTCCCCAGCTCTCTTTCACCTTTTTATCCAGTCTGAGATCCTAGACTATGGAATGGTGACGGCCACATTCAGGATGAGTCTTTTGACCTAGCCTTGTGAAATAATCCAAATGATCCTTCATAGACATGCCCAGAGACTTTTTTTCCAGAACAATTCTAGATCCTATCAAGGTGACCACCAAGGTTAGCCATGACACTTAGTAACCAGTTACATGTCTAAGAGTTCATCCTACCTGCCAATCTGATGAAAGCAAGTGCTTTATGACGTGTTGAATTCCTTCTTAGGAGCACTAAGAAGGTTTAATTGGGTTGTTAGGGATCATCGGTTGTACAACTACAAATTACAAGTTAGAACACAAAGTGTGACTACATTACCAGCCACTGACATGAAGGGGAAGATTATTCTTTCATTCCACAGAACCATATTGTTTGGCTGAATTCCCTGGAACTTCTGGTTTCCCTTCCAATTGTCAGATTTTATTTGGAGGATGTATGCATTAATTTTAGACATCTAGGACCAAATACCTTACAGAAGAAACTTAGGAGGGGAGAGGTTTACTCTTTCAGCAGTCAGCTTTGACCTTCCACCTTTGTGGAGGCAGGGTCTCTCTTGTTTCTGCCACAGTGAATATGCTAGATGAGCTGGCCCTCGGGCATGTATGGGCTTCTGTTTCTACCTTCAATCTCCCTGTAAGAATGTTGAGAATACATTGAGAATACATGTGCCACAGTAGGCTTTTCGCAGTAGATTCCGGTACCTAACTAGGGTAACCAGGCCTGCCCCCATTTGTTCACTGAAGGAACTCTAAGTGTCCCCAATCTCGAATTGACCAACTACCTATTCATGGTCATGGACACTCTTTTTGGTAGCTGGTAGTCAGCAAATCATAATGCTTTCTAGTTCCTTCTCTGGCCCTAGATTCTTCCCAAGGAAATTTAAGTTGAATGGGCCTTCTAGACAAGATATCCCCATTTCTCTGTCCCAGAAGAATTAATAGTGTTAGAGAAATCCATTTCTTTAATAACAATATAAAAAACCATTCCAGTGATTTTCATGGATAAAACGGGAGTTGAAACACGCCTGTTAGTGCTTGGTGTGCAATGACATATGAACCCAAAGATGTGCCCTTTCCCCAGCATCTAGTGCACCAGCAAAAGGATGAAACAGCACACTGTTATGAAGAAAGTGAATGTGAAATACATTGGATTTTCGTCCACATATCCATATGCCTGTATAAGGCATAAACGTATGCTGCATGTACACACACATGCACAAGTATGTACTTTCAAATTGATGGAACTGTGAAGAGTACCACACTACAAAAGACCATCATCCTGTCAGTAGTGTAATCAAAGTAAAACATGCACACAAATATAGCATCGCTAATGTAAAGCAGGAAGTAGTAAATGCCAAAGAAACCCACAGATGTGGTGCAATCACAGTGCTAAGGCGGCAAGGGTTTCCTGTATAAAGGACCCAGAAAGGGCTCTGCAGAGGAAGTGGCATTTTAAAATAACATCTGTCTTCTGTGCAGGACTTTCACACCAACCACTAACAATATCCTCACTACCACAGGACCAAGAATTACCCTTACTGATGACAGACACTTCCCTTTCCCTGTCTGGCAAGCTTGCACATATCAGGTAAGACTCACTTCAAGGCTACTTGACCTGCATCTCTTTCTCCAAAGTGATTTTATTCTTTAATTATCTAGAGGTGTACATTTATGTACCAAATGTTATTCCTGGACATACTAATTCATTGCCATGTTATCAATTTTCCATTAGACAGCAATCACCATGAGACCATGATGATGCATTGAACTCACAATGCCCACAAACAAACCTTTTTGGTATGAATGAACTTTGTTCTTCTGAAAAAAGTGAAAAAAAATCTCTTGCCTAATAAGGAAAGGACAGTTATATATAATTGCCTGTTGTGACATTGTTTAACCAGTCCCAGTTTTCACTGCGATCTCTTTGTTCTACCATGGACACGTGTTTCAGGAAAGCTAGGATACCTGTCCCTAGTCACAGGACTACAGTGCATAGTGGCTTAGGTGGAAATACAGGCAGTTGCCTTCACTGTGGGATGCTTCCAAGTGAAGTGTATTGGCAGAGGGATGTGGAAATGTTACCTGAGAATAATTTAAAATGCCACTTTGACATTATATAACATTGGCCTTTCCTTAGCATCCTTCATGACCATCAGGGACAGCCATCTCTAAAACCAAATCATTGCTCTTGGACAACAAACATCTGTCTCCTGAGAATGGGAAGGGAAGGAAGCCAGTGTTCATTTGATCTCCTTTTCTCGCCCTGTTCCTTTCTCTAATCTCTTCTCCCCCTCCCTCTCTTTCTCTGTTTTCCTAAAGTGGTGATGATGGGGTCAAGCTGCAGTTAGGATGTTAGACTACTTCTTGAGAGTCCAACCAGGTCTTTAGTTCCTAGGATGGCTCAAGATTTGAATGTCTATTCACATCTTACATAGGAGGGGGTGAAAAGACTGTAAGAACCAGAGGATCAGAGAGTTTGCTGTGAGACTGTCTCCTAGAATGCCAGAAGTAACACCCGTGAACTCTCATCATCATGACTCCCTAAAAATTCACTGGAGAAGGACAGAATAGACACTTCAAAGTGGGCAGGAGAAAGACTATGAGACTTCAACCCTACACAAAGAACTACAGGCAACTAAGAAAAGCTGAGAGCAGGAGAAATAGCTTTCCCTGGGGAAGAGCACACCAACTGGTTATCCAATACCAAGTAGTCAGCTCTGAAAACGTATGTTCAAGCAAAGTTGTATAGACCAAGAAGATTATACTTAGAAATAAACACCACACACACACACACACACACACACACACACACACACACACTTGCATGCATGCCACAGCAATTTATTGGGGGTGGGGAAGGCCATGAATTTGAAAGAGAGCAAGGCAGTGTTTGGGTAGGGTTTTGAAGGACAGGGGAATGGGGGAGGGGAAATGATGTACTTATAATCACCAAAAAAAAAAAAAAAAAGAAAGAAATAATTAAAACAATAAATCAAACTGAAATTTGAAATAAAATGTTTAACAGTTTAAAGATTAAATATAATTTGGAAGTTTTATACATATTTTTAAGGAAGTCATAAACAAATTGATTTCTACAAAAATCAGACATGCCTCACAATTTAAAAAGGAAACATAGCTTCAGCATTCAAGGCTAAAAGTTTAATAAACAATGGTAGCATGTATGGTGACCATTTCCATTAAAAAGTACTCTGTAAGTGTGTGTGCAATACTAGATGGTCCCACTATATTACTCATTGAGACATTAGTGTTACAAAATTTACAAAAGACAAAATTCAAATATCATGAAACCATCTGCACAAGTAGATGTATATTTGAAGAACTATAAGAAGATTGGAAGACAGTCTAGCAGAGATTTAGCAATCCTCAGCTAAGACGGAGACCAGGTGATGACCTCTGCAGTTTGTGACTTTACTACCCTGCTGATCAGGAAACACATTCAGATTTTTAACAAATATCTCTCATGTTGATGGATTCTTGTATCTCTTCCCTAGATATCTTCCTTTGATTTCTACTATCTGCTGTCTCCCAATTCCTGGTAGTGGAAACACAGTTTGTGTCTCTATCACTTTGTTCCTGTAGATGTGCCTCTGGAGAAGCAACCTCCATACAGCTGTTATAAAGAAATAAGCTCCAGGAAGGGGCAGGTGGAGGTTTGGGTTCATTTTTTTTTGTACATTTAGCTGTGTAATCTTTGAAAACTACATTATCTGTTCATCATCATCATCTTCTGATGCAAACTGAATGCATATAAAAAAAAAAACAGGTAGTGCAAGTCCTGAGCTATAGCTATGGTGATAATAAGCAAGACATTACTTTGTGTGGCTTCTCTTCTCTGCACCCTCTAAACTCGCCTACACTTCCAAGTCCAACTTACATTCTGTTCTTCAGTTGTAGTTTTTCACGAATCATTCTGGCTTTTGTGATATCTCCTTTTTTTCTAACAATTTGTCCCTAACATTCACTTAGTGCTTACATATAATGATGCGAATTTAATAATACATAGGTTCCCTCATCGGCAGATGGTATTCTCCAAGCTCCCACACAATTGGATGTCTGAAATCTTGGATAACATTGAACCCTACCTGTGTTGTTTTTCCCATGTGTGCATTTCTGTGACAGAGTCTGACTTATAATTAGACAAAATAAGAAACTGACAACAATGACATCAAAACAGTGCAATCATAAGTGCAATGTAATAACTGATGTGTTCTTTCTCCCTTCCTCTGGAATTTTCTAATATATAATATTCTGAGAATTCCGTTGACTATGGAGAACTGAAGTCACCAGAGAGGACACTGTGTGTACATCAAGATATGTCACTGCCCTTTGGATATCCACGATGTCTCTCATTCACTTTTGACTTGGCTGATGGAGAGCTGCATCTTTGAGATGAGTTTTAAATACGGCAATAAACTTAATAGGCTTGGGATTGAATGAGAACTGGAGTCTGCAATCTTATTCTTTCTTGGTTCCCTTAGAACCTGCTGAAAGGCTGTATCAGTAAGCTGTGGGTGGTACCCGGTGACTTGGTTTGAGCTGTCAAGATAGACTGTCACCATCTCAAAAGACAAGAGGGTTCAAAAAGCCCCAGAATAATCCTGACTCTTGTGAGACTGTGGAAAGATGCCAAGAACATCAATTGGCAAGTGCATTTGATAAGGAGAAGTGAAAGCGATGGTCCCATGTTGTACCGTCCTTGCCCTTCAGGCCCATCAGTCAAGAAAATTACCCTGGAGCCAGGCTTCCATGGGAGGGAAGCAGGAAAGCAGAAGAAGTAAGGGGAAGGTACATGTGGTAATTTCCCTCTCGAGTGTGTTTCTGGAGGTATTGACATTATTGGTGTGCCAGGTTTAACTATCAAATCCCATGCTCTTACGCCAACAAACAGCAAATGCCTGGCCTGCCTTTATTTCCTTCTGAGAAGCCACAAGTTTTTTATGATCTTGTCAGCTTCCAAGCATTGACCCACATCAATAAGTGTATTTTGATCTTTTATTTTTTTTCCAGACTGAGCAGTAACGTATCTCCAATACAGTGTTCTTCTCAGAGTGCCTAGCAAGATCCTGTTAACCTAGCAGGAAATAAATTCTCATATTCATCTCTCCCACATGATGTGCAATGTCTGTTGGGAACAAACGTGTGTAAGAATTTTGCTTTGGCCTATGGGTGGAGATCTGCAATCAAAAAAAAAAAGTTTGTACATGCAGGCAGAACACTGTATACATAATAAATAAATAAATAAATTTTTTAAAGTTGAAATAAAAAAACATCAAAGAATACACAGAAAATTCTTTTGTGATTACAATGTCCCCATTAATGGAAGTTTAATTGTTTTGCTTCAGCGATTATTATTTTTATTATTATTATTATTATCATTATTGTAGCAAATGAAGAGAAAGGTCAGCATTTAAGAAATCTTTGGTCATAAATATAAATAGGAATTTAGAATGTCAGGGAATAATATGTTCTTTGTTCTTGTTTGAATAGCAGGGAAGGGAGGTCTGTTGGTTCTTTCTTACTCAGTACTATTGACCTGCCAAAAATTTTAGAGAATTTAGTAACATCCATTATTTCTTCTTACATATATTCGCTGATGTCTCTTTTATGAGATATTACTTGTATTCTCTCCTGTTCCTTTTTTTTCCTTTTCTTTATTTGCATGTCACCAAAGTTCTTAATTTGTGCAACTTTCACATAATTATTTTTCCAAGCTCACCGGAGGTTATCATCGATTCTATCTCAAGTCTTCTCATGGCCAATGAATCATCCAGATACTTCTACAATCCCTTCTCAGGCTTACTGGTGAAGTGAAAGTCTTTCTGTAATAACATTAATAACATGGAAGCTGGAAACAACAGTTACCCCTGAAACATTCATTGGTTTCTCCTATAATTATAAAAGAAATACAGATAGGAAAATATTTGAAAGGTACAGAAAGCACAATTGATTCCCATCCATCTCTGTAAACACTGTTAGAACTTTGATTTACATCTTTCTGATAGATAAGAGCATATACATACACATGCTGAGCTTTGAACTCTATTTAAACTTGCATTAGAAAGTGAACATTTTCCTTTGTTACCAAATAGTTCACAAAATAATTTGAAAATTATTTGCACTCATTACCTGAATAAATAATAATCTAATTAAAAATTTCAATAGCATTTTAAATTATTATGAGTCTTACCTGAAAAAGCATCCTTTTTTTAAAGCGTGGTTTGACAGTTTAATTTGATCTGGTTATACACCCTCTCCCTAATGTATGACTCACACCCAATTAAGATTCTCCTTTAAATCCAAGGAGTTTACAAAGTGCAATGTGTCCTTCTGAAATATGCTGCCTGCAGAAAGAAAGGAAGAGAAAACGGAAAGGTTAAGGTTATAAAGAATACTCTGTACATAGAAAATGATAACCATGTTCTGCAAATGCCCCCACCCACCCCTACTACCCCCAAGTTAACAGTCAGTGAGCAGAACCTGTCATCTCAGAGACATCTTTCTTTAACCAGAACTTAAATTTCCTTGAAGGTCTCCTATCAGTGGCGAGTTAAAAACATATTTCACGTTGTAAAGGGATGGAAAAAAATTTAAGACTATTTTGTGACAGGTTTGTAAAATATAAAAGATTATAAAAATTCAAATTGCAGCGTTCCCAATAAAGTTTTATTGGTGAGCACTCAATGTGTGCTTATCCCATGGCTCTCAGCAGTAGCTCTCATACTATAACAGCAGAATACAGCAGATGCCCAGGAAGTGACTCTGGCCATATGTAGAAAATGTTGTTGCTCTTCACTTACAGATGATGAGGACCAGCATCAGAAGCATGTGCATTCATTTTCTCTGGTCTCTCAGCCCCAGCATCCCTCATATTGTCAGCAGGATGATTTGCACACATATGGGGGACAAAAAGATTGTCAGTCTTCATTGGCTGGCAGAGCCTCCTTTGAACTGTGGGAAAGCCACCATCTTGTTTTGGTTCACCCCTCTAATGCTCTGTGGCTGCAGCATGAAACATTAGTGAGTCCTTTAAACTTCTTGTTATCTTGAGACAGGGCAAGCCCTTTCCCCAATTTATTTAGATACAGAAGAGGAGGAGGAGAGATTGGGTCCTACGTGTTATTCAATGGCATGACATGGGTTTCCCTGGAAGCCTGCCAGAACTGATGCTTATGAGGTGTTTGTCTGATGAACTGTACCCTGTAACACGAAGCAGAGCCCAGAGGAGGTGGCAGTCCATTCTTCTAACTCAGGATTGACTTACAAATCAGAAGACCATTCAAAGCCCGTGAAAGGCAGATCTAGCCCTCAGAGAGTGTAGCAGGAAAATAGTGACGGGGGCTTATGGACAGTGGAAAGTGGGATGATTTTATCTGTTGCTCAAGTATATTATCTTCATGGAAGCAAGTTACAGCCCAGGCTCACTACACTGTTGTTTTATTATTGGAGTCTGAAGAATAATTATTAGCCCATATCTCTGGGTTGCAGAGACCTTATCATATTAAAGGAAGCTGTGTTATACAAGATTGGAAACACCTAACACACTTGACATAAACAGAAAAGAAAGTTGTGAGGAGGAAGAATCCTCCAGGATTAGAAAGTACATTCAGAAGTGTGAGAAGGACTCCCATATTTGACATGAAATTATCGCATGACAGGCTATCAGTATTTTGGAAAGTTAGCTGCACTGTATTCTATTTCTTGTCTTACAGCCAGATTGCATGGTAAGAGCTGATTTTAGTACTGGACCTCCAGAATCTGTGACATTTCTATGGAAACATACAGATCATTTGGCAGTCCGTACAAACAGTATAAAACGTCTGGTTATCTGTGAATCTATATATAAAACACAGAGTGACCACAGTAGGCATAAATAATGCTGTGGGATTTCCAGTTAAAATGTGCACGTTTGTGGTAAAAAGGTTGAAAATCAAGGTAATCAATGAGGTGAAGATAACCCCTATAATCCTCCCACTCAAGGATATTATTCGGAAGACCTGTTTGGTCAAAGCTTTCCCTTTCTTTCTTTCTTTTCTTTTATTTATTTACTTCTTTCCTTTTCTGAGATGAAATCTCATGAGGCAGCAGTGGTTGACTTGGAGAACTCACTCCACAGAGTAAACTAACACCAGACTCACGAAGATCATCATGCCTTCACCTCCCAAGTGCTGGGGTTGAAGGGGGGCATCACCATGGCCAGCTCTGCTCCTAGACTTTGCTGTGATCTTTTTTCTCTACTGTGGTTATTTCAAAGTCTATCATAGCCTCTTGCTTTTCACTTGTCTTTATTCCAGGACTTCTGCATAAAACATTTCTAATTATGCAGACACAGCCTAAAAGATAGATGAGAATGTCATAGAGTTCAGATAGGAAGAGTAAAAAAAGACTCAAGCCCCAATGTGTGTTTTCTCAAATCATAAAATAAGTACAGCTTTTATTACTGTCTTTTTTTAATCTTCTAATTTGTTTCTTGGCCATGATCCTTTGGTCTGGATGAAGACCAAAGTGAAAAAGAATGGGGGAGGGGTTGTGGTAAAAAGAAAAAGAAAGACAAGGAAAAAAAGATAGAAGGAAGAACCAGGGATTGAAAAGAAAAATACCACGTTCTCGGGATACATCTGGTCCTGCTGTGAGCAATAGCATTTATGTGAATGTGTGGACAAGTCTGTAAGCTAAAATTTTCAGAGGTCTGAAGGTCAGAAATGCATTGCCTTCATTCTGTGGCTCCCACATTCAGAACTTTATAGAGAAACATAGATCCTAATCAAGATTCATTCTATCAAATACAAAGGACTTGCAGTTTAATTTCACATTTCACCTCTCCTTTATAAAGATGTCCTGCAAGAGTCCTACAACACTGGTCAGTTCCTACCCAGACATCTTTCTAAGCCAGCAAAGCAGTGCTAGGACCCATCTCGGAGGAACCCTAGCCCTGCACAGAAACCATAGGCGGTGCCGCCAAATGGGACCCTCTGTACCTGAGGCCTGACCTTCTCCAATCTGTTACACTGTCCGCCGAAAGTTTATTCTAGAGGGCTTCCTTCCTGAGAAATCTGCGTATCACAGCTGTGTTAGTCCATGATACAAAGACCTCTGTTGCTACTTGCTGTCTTCGTGGGAACGGCTCGAGAATGTAATCTGAGCTGGCTTCGGTCTGTCCCTACACAGTCACATCATAACACTGAAGTGTAGATTTATAGCACGCTTTATGTATATTTTCTTACTCCCAAGCCCCCCCCCCCACTTCACAGATACATACACAACATGTCATGTAGAAAATATAAATTGTTGATCATACTGGCACTTTCCTTCTTTTTAAACCTTTCCAAAGGTCTTTTTGTTAAATACACCCAGATGCCGTTTGACAGATGAGGGGCTAATTGCTCTGTGAATTACCTCTATCGATTCCTGTTTCATGTTGAGCCAAACAAACAAAAGATATTAATGCTTTGAAAAAAATGAATGATGACCTTTCTCGGCAAACACAGCTTGCGGTCTCTGATTATTGGTGATTCCTGGGAGCAGCGGTCAATCGCAATAGCTGTAACGCTATGATCGCTATAATAAGCTTCCCTGACCTTCTCTGCCATGTTAAGTGGTTTAAATTTATTTGCCCAACAACAGAAGAGCTTTTATTTAAAGTCACAGAACATTCAATTCAATTTAAAGATGTAGTGTCTTTCTTCTTCTGGCTTCCTGGCGTGTCCCTTCACACACCTACATGCCAAGACCACTACCTTTCCCACAGAGAACCAGACCTCAGTACCCTCAAAATGAGCAACCTACCTGGGAGCCATTTTTACCTTCCAAGTCGTTGTTATAGTCGTTAGTTTTTGTCTTAAAACATCAGGATCATTTTGTCTCTCTCCTTTGTGTCTTTCTCTTCTTCTTAAGCTTTGGCCACAGTGCATGTGTTAGAGTCTAGATCATATGAACAGCAAACAAAGTCAAGAACTGAAGGAGCTCAGTGTTGAGCCCCTGAGCTCCAGATCAGAAGCCTGATTGTAGTCTTGTCTCAAGAAGTAGGCCAGTTTAGGGGTCATTTCTTTGTCTCTAGAAGAGGCCCTTCCAGTTTTGTAGTGGAGGAACCAGGAAGCCAGCTACTACCTCAGAACAGCCTTCTTACTGGGACACACACACATCCCAGATCTCTCAAATTAATGGCGGCTTTGTATAAATGGCATTTTTAAACCCAGTAAACAGAACATGGCTGTGGGCCCTTTAAGGCTCTCTTGATCTTTTTTCTCTTACAAGGCTTTGTGTAGAATGGTGAAAATATGCACAGCACCAATGGTGAAAGCCTTGAGCGCTCAGGAAGTGTCTGCAACCCCCATCCACAGTTGAAATGAAAATCTCTTGGAAAAGGGGGACCCCCTGACACTTCCACTAACTTCCTGGTGCAAGGAATGCCAAAAATATCTAGGAAGTAAGTAGCTTCTCTAAGAATATTTTGGTTCCTGTGCTCTGAGATGAAAGCAGGAAGTGCAGACAGAAACACCACAAATAATCAAAAGGCTTCCTGCCTCTTTCTCACAGTCAAGCAGTTAAGAGTTTAGATGGGGAGGTGTGGGTTATAAAGGGGATTCTACACAAACACCCTATCTACTTTTCACTCTAGTTGAGGACCAAGAAAAAATGCTGAGAGGTTTTCAGCTACGCTTGACTTTGCTATCTATGGAAAGTACCAGGTAGATTTCACGGAACTTCAAGGCACCGTTTCTGCATGTGTCTGTTACCTTGCAAGCCATGCATGGGCTCCAAGGTTCTTTCTCTGTGTCGCAGTGTTTACAAATGCTGTGTGCTTTCACTTTCTGAAATGCTGTTGTTGAGTATATCTTCCCTTCGACTTTCCTGCCATCCTAATCTCTGCTCAGGACTGAATATGAGCCCCCCCCCTCTTCCAGACTTGAGTGACACCCCCCCCCCACCGTTGAGAACTCACTATTGTACTCTGGTCACACTTCAATTTTGGCATTTTGTGTGTCCATTTTATTTACTACTACATTACCCCACCCTACCCTACCCCACCCCCGGCCTTTGAAAGTCTGAACTGTGCAGCTCGGGTCTCAGCCATATCTTTGGGTTCATCAGATGAACATCTGAGGTTTGAGAACCGGTGACTCGCTGACTGAATGAATGAATGTAATCATTGCCTCAATTAACTTCCGTTGTACAGTCAACCATCCTAGACCTTATTAGCTTTAGAGAACCCTGTTTCTGCAGGTCAGCTGGGCTTTCACTGGCCATTGCTAGGCTTGACTATGCTGGCTCGGTTGGTGAGACTCCCCCATATGTGTTCTTTACTTTTTCATTTGGGAGAGAAAATGCTATCCAGGCATTTTCTTTTTCTCTCTCTTTATAGCCACAGCACTTACAAAACCTCTTAACTCATGTCATTTCTACTATTTTCTATTGGTCACAGCAAGTCATAGGGGAAGCCCTAGATCAAAGGATGAATTTATATATTCTTGTCCTTCAGCCATATGACAAAAATAAATATGAAGGGGTGATGAAAAGTTGGTTATAGTAACATGGGTTTGGGATATGGCTCAGTTGCTAATGTGCCTGCCATATGAGCACAAGGACCTGAGTTCAGATCCCTATAACCATGTAGGAAGTTGCGGTGATGATGCTTATCTGCAATACCGGAAGTGGGAAGGTGGTGCCAGGAGGACCCTGGGGCTGTGTGCCTTAGCAGTCTAGAGAAACAGGTTCAGTCGAAGAGACTATCTCAAAAAATAAAGTACAGAGTCATGGAGGAAGACAACTGATTGTGATTTCTGGCCTCCATCCTCAGTTGTACATACATGAGTATGTACCATGTAGACATATGTGTGCATGCACATACAAGCATGTATACATACATATACACAGCAAATGGATTACAGTAATCAACAAACCTACTGAGAAGAAAATGCTGATAATCACAAGAAGATAAAGTATATTTATCTACAGCCAGTGGCTGTGGCGCACGCCTTTAATCCCAGCACTCAGC